TGTTTCGATCCAATCATATAGGTAGTGATGTATGGGGGGAGGGGGGTTGATAGTTATTTAATTTCAAAAGGGGGAGGGGTGAGATTTATTTTACGTTTAGCACAGTGGGGTTTAGCTTCAATTTAAGCCCAATTTGGAGAATTTTAGAACCCCCCCCCTCCCGATAATTATTGCACAGTCCCTAAAAGCATGAAAATTTGATATCTTTTTAGACTTTTCATGAATTCAAGTTATCGTTTGCATTCATTTCAAGCCTCGCATTAAAAACTGGGTCTAATTTATTTTTGACTTGAAATTAAAACTTCAATTTTTCATGCCATTATTTGTTCACAACGAATTAAAGTCTTGTTGTGTGTATGAACAAGCCTCCTTATGATCAGACATCAGCTTCCTGACTAGGAAATGGACTTTTGGTGGGGTGCATTCAATATATTGATTTTGTAACTACTTAGTGAGTTAATTTAATGGTTGTATCAAGACTTATTCAACTATAACTTCTGGCTTATACGGTGTAGATATATCACTTGTGTTCGCTGCGTATGTCCCGATTTTATTCTAAGAACTGTAAGCCTTTGTTTCCTGAAAAAAAAAAATTGTTTTTACCTCTACGAAATTAGATTCTCTTGCTGATCTCTTAAGTTGAGACGTTTTGACAGAATTAGGTGGTGCAGTTGAGGTTGCAAGTGTTACGACAGTATAAAGAATACAACTAAAGGTCAATCACTGTCAATCAGAGCTCGCCTCCCTTTGGGATAAAGAAAAAAAAAAAGAAAAAATCAGATGTACTAACCCGTTCGTGCAATGCAAAGTAATCAAGGGAAAAACGCCCATGCACCAAATAATACACCAAAAGAAAGACAGAGAGAGAGTCTAAATGCAGTTCGTTTCATGTTTTTCATTATTAGGCTTGTACGTGTTATCATCTACAGTCTCCGGCACAGGCAAAGGAAGACTTCAGACTTCCTTGTACGTGATAGCAAAATATATTTGGAGGTATTTTTACTTAGATTGTTTCGTGATATTGGCATATGTTTTAAAGGGGTTTTTTTCAACATACTGGTGCATGATTTATAGATCCCATTTTGCAAATAAATAAAACGTTAAGATATTTCTGTCTTTCCCACTAGTCACCTACTAAAAATACTTGTTTATTGTCTGGATGTATTCGTTTATCAACTGTTATCTAGAAAAAGGTAATGCAATGCTTAGTCCGCAAACTAAAGTAACTGGAGAGAGATATCAATTATTTACATAAGGTTGAATAAATAAATTAAATGTGGCAACCACTTTATTATCATGGTTTAATGACGATAATAGCACTTAGCAAGGGAAGGCGGGTATTATGTCAAACACTATATAAAAGGTGTTCCCCAGGTCTAGTATCTATACCGTGGAAACATTCAACAAAAAAGGTAAGCTGTACCAGGCAGGATATATAAACCAGCTGAGCCAGTATTTACAAAATATAACAGTTTGAAATAACCTTTTACCATCAAAAATGATAATAACGGCTGTTATAAGCTGATAATCGTTATTTATCTTTACTTCTAGCATTTCATTAATGAAACATTGGGCAAAATCAGCCATGAAGTGTGTTGTTATTATTCTCTTCATGCTGGCTATAGCATCTGCCGAATACCTCGAAGGTAACGCGACTCAAAACTGACTGTATCAACTATACAACTGTATTGAGGGATAAACAATATTATTAATCTATTAGATTATAATCAGAAGCTATACTATACTGCTATTTCTCGTTTGGATCAGTGGGGTAAGCACTGGGGCACCCTCTATTTAATCAACAAACCGTCCAATATCTCTTTTTTAATACTAACCGTAATTTTCCTTGGCTTACCTTTTGGGTTAGGGTTATGCACAAATTATGATACTTTTTCATATACATAAAACTAATCTATCATAAAACTAAATCAAAATTTTATTACAAATTATGGGATACCATCTCCGATATTTTTTTTTCAAAAAGCCCTAGTGATAGGCAGTCCGAAAAAAATATCAGCGATTATATCCCATAATTTCTGATATACTTTTGATATGCTTGTATGTATTTATGTACGAAAGGATCAGAATTTCTGCATATCGCTGTATATATATATATATATATTGATATTGATATTGATATATATATACATATATATTTGAAGAAAATTTACTCATAAAGTGTCTTACTTCTTAAGACCCCTTTGGTGTGATATTCGGATTGAAGACCTTTTAAACACTGTGTTTGAATTTGAAGTTTTCCCAATTTTTTAAAATCAATAGACCACACCCATTTCCTCTTTTTAAAAGACCCCTTTTATCTATATATTCTTCATATATATATATATATAAACAATATTTCATAAACGTAACATATCCAAAGTGTAGAAGAACTATTTATGAGCTTGATTTTGTCTTTTGCACTAGATCATGAGCTGACAAAAAGAGTAACCTGTCACTGTAAAGGTGAGAGTGGAACATACTGGTTTGGCATCGCCGAGTGTCATGACCCATCTAATTTACAATGTTCTGCCTTTATGGGAGTTTGCTGTGTGCCACTCAAGGGAAAGCAGGCTTAAATCAAGTATCGACAACAGTCTCGCACTCTAATGATGCCAAAGAAACTCGGTTTAATAATGTTGCAAAACTATAAGGACGAGAAAAAAGTACTTAAAAATGAGATTAAATAAACATGAACAAAAACTAGTATTGCATTGATTTAGTGGTAAAGGTATACTGGATGGGTTGTTGGTGCTTTCCTGTGATTGTATTTGTATTGAGCCTGTAAATGTATTGAAAAGTCTCAGTTCAGTCTACTTCAATTCATGAACTCTGTCTATCATATTTCACTGAATTCTTAGTTTAGATGAATTACAACACGATTAGTGGCATACCACAATTAGTGATCTCCAGAGCGGCGCATCTTAGTCTCGTCTTTTGTTAGGTACCTTCAAGGTAAAAGTAAGAAAAAATAGTGTTTTTAATCGCTCTCGTTACTGAGTGCGAGGTCCGTACCGTAAGTCATGGACCAAATCTTTTCCACTGCCTTATGTTCCATAGCTTACATAGGGACAAGGCAAGCGAGGATAGTAAGATGTTCATTCAATGGCACGTTGAACAAAAACGTTGGGCTGGTGGTCCGTACCGTAATTAGCAATTTATGAACCGCATTAGTCAATGAAAGCACGTAAAACTACCTTGCAATATAAAAATGTATAGCATTGAATAAAAGGAGAGTGTTTTGTAATAATATGAGTGCTTTGATCAGATAAACGTCTAAACTATATATTTACATATAGTATACATATAGTGCCAGACTTTCAATATTAAAACCTTGCTTCAAACTACAGGAAGCGGCAGCTTTGAAAAGAAAAGAACAACTCTTAATGAATAAGGTAAGACAATATGATCTGATAATTAAATGTTCATATTCCGTTCAATAAAAAAAGGGGTAAATTAAGGAAGAAATGTTTAGTGATGATCCCGCACAGCCCAAGATGTCCGATCCGTTTACAAGATATATTAAATTATCTTTGTGTTTTTTGAATAAATATATCTTCATAAAAGAATGGTTCAAAAATTATAACTAACTTGCTTATTGTCATCAAGTATATTTTGCTCAAGCCATATGCGTAGGCAAACAAGCAGCTTCGCACCTTTTCATATATGGTGTATTGTAAAGCTATTTTATATATATATTTTAGACTTTTTGCGGATTAGTGGTGGAAAAAAAATAGTAATGAAATGCCCTTCTCACATTACATCACAGTGAACATATATGGCAGATGTCACAACCACATGTATATTGAGTAAATCTAGTCATTCTGGACCAACTATTGAACCATTGCCTGCAGTCTAAAACCTAATATCGATGTTTTTGAAAAACAAAGCGCAGCGTATTACGGGAGGGGGGAATAAACAGGAAAAGCACCTACGAACTATCTAATCATGTCTAACCACACTAAGGAAACGTGGAGAACAAATCAACAGTTCTAACATATGGCAAAGGATGTAATGACTTACTACTATACTATATTTATATGTATTTCAATTAATTTTTTTTTTATGTTCAGAATTTTTTTAGAACTTTACACTCTTGTTACCAACTTTGAGATACCTAATCGTTTTGTTGGGAATATATGAATTAGTCTATCCATGTTTGTTTCCTTTGATACCTTATGCTTCAGTGATAATGATGAGGAAAAAGAAACAAAAAAGAAGAGGAAAATTTAAATTAAAAAAATGGAAATAAAAAAGAGAGAAATAAAACAGGTATTCTAAAGAAATTGTCTGATTGAAAATGATTATTACTGTAATACGTCCAAAAGAAAAAGATTACATTTAAAAAGTTTTATTATTTAAAACGGAAATATGTTCTTATTATATGGGTCGTAGATTATATAAAAATTATTTCTTTTTTTTTAGATTTGAGATCAAAATTAATGGGATACTTTTAAAGTTTGCTTTCTGAAAGATGTAATGCATGTTTTCTTCCTTCTGTGTGGACCCTACTTCACGCCGACAAAGTCGCGATGACACAAAGAAGAACATCCTTGAACTACATTTAGACAATTATTTTAGTAAATTTCAGCTTAGCAAATATTTTTTTAAACCTATGATCCTGCTATAATTCAATCAAAAAGAAAATAACTATAAATAGAAGAAGAATACCAATAGAATGGGAACCGGGATTCGTGGAATAAATGGTTGAAAAACCGCTTGAGCTTTCGATTAAAAATAATAATGGTATTTAATGAAAAATAACCCTGATTAACCACTGACACAAAAAAGAAAAACCAGCGAAATAGATAATATCTTTTGCGGTTTCGTAACACCGTATGGCTCAGTGAATTTTGCACACATGCTACACCCAAGTTAAAAGACGCATCGTAAATATGACTGGTATGATTAGCTGATGTAAATAGCACCAGCGGACAGGCATGTTAAGTTTTTAGAAAGCTAGTCTCCTTTGAAATATTTGTTCAATGAATTATTATTTCTTAAGTGAAATGTACGATTATTCAATGTTCAATTGTGCCATATTAAAGTGACCAAGATCCTGAAACACTTTCGAGTTGTACAAAATAGTTTTTTTCCTTTGTGTTTCGCATATTTCAGTCTTGGGAAACATTTATAATAACTTAATATCATGTTTGAAAGCCTTTTAGAAGTGACGAGCAAACTCCATAAAATCTCAGTTCCACTTGAAAGATGTTACTAAGGCATGCTCGTACCACAGTAAACGTAGCCGGTAGAGCAGTTCAATTTAAGTTAAGATTAATGACGAAACAACTTAAACATGATATTGTATTCTTCAGCAACAGGACTGTGGTAATGCTTTTGTGTTTTTAAAAATAATCTCTGGCAATATAATTATAATGAAACGAACCAAGATGTATAATATATGAATGAGCATGCCAGCGGATAAATCTTGCTAAGGCAGAAAATGAACAGTAAATTTCAGTAATGTAGGAAAGCATTCTGGATAGGAAAGAAGGGATGGAGTAAATATTTTAAGAATTTTTTATTAGTGAAGCAAAATAATATACTTTGAAAGTATTTCATTTCTTATACTAATACAAAAATACTTTTCTTCTTTTCTAGATGGCAAAATGAACTACATATTGTATGCACTTGGATCTATTTAAATCTAGTAGTACTCTGTACACTTTATAAAACATGACATGACCAGCTTTCTAATATTATAGCTATAACTTCGCCCCGAAATTATTTAATAATTATTCAACATCCGTAAACTATGGTTCCTCCATTGTGAGGGTCCTGTATACGTGTGTTTCCTTTACATGCCCTACTTCCTATACGTAGATAAGGATAGTTAGTCTTTAAATACAGGACTTTAAGTAGTGTTTAAAAAACGAGTAGGAGTGTTTTATACCTGATAAAACACGATCTACGAGTTTTTTGAACTGCTTACAACACTCATGAACAATTTATAAGATTTTGGTTCAACTGGAGCCACCATACACGTCACGAACATGGATTTTTATACTTCGATAGAGATTTGACGTCACGGGCATGCGCAACCAGATTCAATAGAAGCTCCCACACGTTGGATATTGCGTGTCAAGGCAAAGACAGGCACGTTAGTCAAAGATCATTAGGATTGACTATGACCTTGATGAAGCTCTATGTCTTCATCTAAACTTGGATGCATACTTCATTCCTGATGAAGTCATCCTCATAGTATTCGAGTGGTCTTTATATAAAGATCACTTGTCTTTATATAAAGCACTAAATAAATGTATTTGTATAAATGTATAAATGAATTTTAACATTTTTTTGTAAGTCAATACATTTTTTGTACGACCAAAACTCTTGAAGATCTGTACACGCAAAAATAACTTGATAAGCTGATAAACAGCATTTTACAGATAAAAGT